ATAATATCTGTCTTTCCCTGCCGAGGTAGGGTAACTTGATAGAGGCAATACATTGCTGGCCTTATACGTGCTGATGCACACAGGTACACATCAAACATCCTATATTAGGTCTGTCAGAGAGAGAGAGAGCGAGAGAGAGAGAGAGAGAGAGAGAGAGAGAGAGAGAGAGAGAGAGAGAGGGGATGTAGGAGCAGACCGTGTTAGACATAAACACAAACAGACAGAGACGAGGCTGATGGATGGATGTGGGAAGACAGCAGTGGTTGAGGATCTGAATGAATTATGCATCTTTTCTCTGGCATTAATTCAGTAAAATGTACATGCAGCAGTGTACGTATGCATGTAGCATATGTGCGAGGATGATGAAAATGAAAACAGCATGGTTGGTGCAATATAGCGTTCACCTTCCAAGGCCTTTCATCTCATTCCACACAACTTGTGTCGGAGTGTCCGCACTTCGGCTTTCAATTATCCAGCAGCTGCATCTTTTCTCCATGTGAATCAGTACAGGAGAAAATATCTGTTGAGCGATGGCAGTCTAAGTGTCAGTCTTTTGTTGATGTATGATTTTGAGAAGGAATGATTTAAAACCTGACAATTGAGGTGTAAATGATTGCACTTACATCTTCTGAGTGAGATTTGACATGAAACCATCAACTATTGTCTGACTTTGATAAATGCCTCTGGGAAGAAAGACACATTTTCAGTAATGCCAGAGTAACCAGTGGTTAGCATCAGATGACTTTCTGTTAAGCTCAACAGCAAAGCAAAATTCTTCCCTCTGGCACCATCATTTCTCTGCAGAGTGTCTCAATCATTCGTTTCTGTTGAGTCTCAGGTAAACTGAAAATCTTAAGTCACACAGAGGCTTCCCTCTGGCTGACTTCAGCAGCATGACTTTTTGATTACAACCATAAAAGGGTATTTAAATGTGATATTATAAATATATATATATTGCAACCATAAAAAGATGGGACAATGGATAGCCAAATGGTTATGTTGCACACTCCATGTACTGAGGCTATAGTCCTCATTGCAGCGGCCATGGGTTCGAATCCGACCTCGGTCCTTTGCTGCTTGTCATCCCTCACTCTCTCCTCCCAAAATTTCCTGTCTCTCTTCAGCTGTCCTGTCTAAAAGAAAAAAGGCAAGCTGCTCTGTTTTAGCAGTTTAGCAAGTTTAAATGCCACGTTCATACATACATTTGCAGTTAGAGTTTCTTTTTTAACGTGACGGCTCAGCATGGAGAGTGGCATATATTCAAGCTACCTGTAACAGAGAATGGGTTGCAGTGCTCACAGGGTCCTTATCTTCAGCTGTCCTGTTGTGATTTTCACCCCTAATTGGAAACCAAAAGAGCTGCCAGACATGAAACCTGACGGAGCGTTCCCCTTCCCAGCCTCGCCTGACTCCGACTTGTCACCTATGGAGTCTCAGCAGAGTTGAGTTTATCTGGGCTCACTGGAGCTATGATGAGCCAGAATTCAACACCCCCCCCCCCAAACGATGTTAAAGACAAAAGACAGGTCTTTCTGGTGGCTGGTGTGGTATGCACTATGTTCCTGTCATGACCTGTGATCTTACCCAGACTAGGACTTCCGCATCATGTCATCCTCCTCTCTCTCTCTCTCTCTCTCGTTGCATCTTTTCTGTCTCTAAATTTAACAACTCTGAATTTCCTCACCCTCTCAACAGACGAGTGCTTTGAAGTACAGGATGCATATTGGTTACACTTGCTGCATCCATAATATCTCTCTTTTATTTACCTTCACATTTTCCCAGCCTTCAGTGATTAAAATTGATGATACATCTTGCACGAAGCCGTGTCTTCAAAGAAATAGAGGGTACTGATTTTCCTTGTTTACACAGACAATGCTGTGGCAGTTTCAGAAATTCAACCCTTAATAAAATTTACCACCAGCAGCACATTTATCACTGGAATGAGGTTACGTCAAAGTCTTCCAAACAGCACAGTTCCTTAAAGTTTGGGCTCTTAATTGTCATGTGTTGTTGTATTGAAGCTACTATTCCTTTAATAACAATAAAAAAATAACTTTTTCTAACTGAATGATGTTGCGGGGATGAGATTCTGAAGGCTTTCTTAATGTGTGTGTGTGTGTGTGTGTGTGTGTGTGTGTGTGTGTGTCTTGTGTAATCTTTAACCTGCAGTCGTGTGCACTCCCCGGTGAGAGACTGTGCGAGTCATTACTGGCACATCTAGCCCACGGATTAGTCTTTCCTGTCATGGATTTAATCTGACACACACACACCTCACACCTGAACATACCCAACATACACTTCTACAAATCCCAGCAGTAATGCAATAAGCCTTCCCTTTGACTCACCTTACACTGAAGTGTCACCTGTAATATAAACGTCTCTGTGGATTCAGATTATCTGCGACTATCTGCGACGTAAAAAACAAGAGATTCCATCCCACAAGGCTCCTCGTCCGCTCCACGCCGCCGTATGAGAACTCGGGATGTAAATGAACATGCAAATGGAACACCAGAGGTTGCGAAATGTCGTGCTCACCTCGGCAAATTACCCCAAATTGCCCCTCGGATTTCCAACCAAGCATGCAGTTGTTCTTAGCAGTTTAAATGTAAACACTACAATCAGCATTTTAATTCATGATTGCCAAACAAGCCGTAAGCTAATCACGGCGAGGAGATAATGAAGAAAGCGAGAGAGAAAAAGAGAGAGAGAGACTTAGGAGGGAGTCAGTGATTAGGTCTTGCCACAAAATGTCTGTTTCTCTCGGCGCTCTGGGCTCTGCATGTTTATGTACGCCTTTTTGCAGTCAGAATAATCTGCAAGCATGAGGTACTTAGGTAAAGTTCAAGGCTATCCACAGACATTCATGCTTCTCTGCATGAATTTTACTTAAAAAGGAAGCGAAAAACGTGCATGATTATACGACTGCAGAAGTTATTTTGTTCCCTTTCTGTTGACTCTACCTTGTCACATATTGAGCAGTCAAAGCTCTTATAGCGTGCAATAAGAGCATTAATGCATCACGACTTAGGTGTGCTGATTCTAAAGTGGTGACCAAATGATGGCAAAGGCTAAGGTAATGTCCCTGGGCATGTGGAGACCTTTGGTTAGAGATATATCAGGAATGGACAGGCGTAATGCCTTTAACCTTTTCCTCCTAGATTCATTACCGAAAGCAAAATGCTGACAGCGATGACCTGACGACTGTCATTAGGAGTTGTTATCTGATGACATTTTCAGGTAAGTTCGAAATATCGGCTAATTCAACGGCATTTATGCCACACATAAAACTCACAGAGGCAGATGAGTTGTTTTAGCATCGGGTTAAACTCCATCACATTGCGGGTTTCCTCCAAGAAATCCGATATTCCCACTGCTTCCGAGTCAAAATGTCACTATTCACATTTGTAAGAAGTGAGATCGAGTAGTGGTTTATTTTACTCAAGATGTAGCTTAACCCGCCAGCCTTCCCCGTTAAATAATCACTCAAGGATTGATCAATTATTCACTTCTCACCTGTGGCAAAGAGCTCGGCTCTCTTCATTTGTTCAAAAGAAGCGTAACTTTTGGATAAAAGTGTGACTTGTAGAAGCAGAAGTTTTGATAGTTTAAAGCAGACAATAACCACGGATAATATTCAATAAAACCCACATTGTTTTCACACCCCTGACTGTCAGTACAATGTTAGAAATATTCAAACAAAACAGACAAAAAAAAGTCCTCTTTATAGAACATGCAGCTTCTTTAAATGGATTAGAGAAATGTCCTGTTGCTTTTTTTTTTCCTTTCTATTAATATATTCATTAGCACCAGGAGACTGGTGGAATGAAGACGTCTGCTGCCCCACGTCTCGCAGCCAAATTATAAGAGAAACCCTGCTTGGCTAGCTGTGCTGTGATATCAAAAAAGCTAAATTAAAAATGCATTCCTTTTCCCTCCTTTAGGGGTTCGTGCAATTACTGAGTCAGTTAGCGACGCGGGGAGGCGTTTCCTACAGCCTCCTCGCAAGCTACTGTACATCTTTATGACTTTCTCTCTATGCATGGATTCCCGCTTTTTCCCTCACCTTCACACACACACGTACTTCCACACACTCTCTCTCTCTCTCTACTGTAAAGGCAGCTCAGAAATGCTTCTTGTTGGCCCTCATCCTTGCAGAGCAGATGGCTGCTTTTCTGCACCACATGGCCGGCACTCAGGAGATGAGGGGAGCTCTTTAAGAAGAAAAAGACTTTCAATCTGCTTTAGCAACTGTAGCTCCTCCTCCTCATCATCACATTTTTTTTTTTTTTTTGCAAGGCATCAGCAGCAATCTCTTCCACAGCCCCTCTCCAACCACCGCCTTCTCAACATATCTCCATCCCTCTGTCTTGTCACTCCACATTCATCTAGCTGCTATTGATGGTTATGTAAATAGTTGATGCTTATGTAAAAGAGTCAAACACAAGGTCGCAAAGTGGGATTATTAAGATGCTGCACGGATGCTCAGTACACGAGCCAAGAACTCCAACCCCCCCCCCCCATATCATGTAGCTCCAACATGTGGGAAACACTCCATATGTATGGAGAGCCGCATTCATTATTCATGCTGGGAGTCAGCTGGAATGGTGGAGAAGAGGAGTTATTCTGGAAGGCGATGGCGAGCAGAAACTTAGAGAAGGAGAGTAAGCACTGTTTGTATAATTCAGTTTGAGCATGATGGGCTGAACTCAGCCTGCAGGCGGCAATAAGAAAACCTAAAGGATTGATTTGCATGTTTGTTTTCTGGTCATCATCTTGTGGTTGTAATTCTAGAGAGACGAGTCCTTGTGTCAATAAACATGCTCAGATTCATTGATTGTGATAGCATGGCGCTAGAAAAGGCTAGCAAACAGATCGTAATTAGCTCCTACCAGATGTTTAGCCTCAATCTTAATTAATAACTTAACTACCTTCGGCTGAGGGTATTTGATGTTGAACATGTTCAGTATGGCTGATTTGCTAATGGAAACAGTAGTACTCACGATGTGGAGCATGATGTAGTCACCCAGACGAGGGGCGCTGTCGATGCGGACCAGGATGCCATCTTTGATTGTAGTGCTGAAGCCCACCGCCAGCCGGTCCGTCCGTGTGCTGGGCCTCTCATTATTGGGCCACGTGTACGTGATCAGACCCCCTCCTTTCCCAAAGATATACGTGGTGCCAGCTGTTGAAACAGAAGAAGTAATAAAGAGCAGCTGTTAGATTTGTTCAGGAGAAAATAGAGCCAGATAAAAAAGGGATAGAGAAGATTAAAATTTTGTGATGTATAAACACACAGTAACAAGACACTAGAGAGCCAAGTGTCTGCACCGAGACGCTTTTCAGATAAAACCAGCTCCAAACTACCTCCATTAAGGTCTAACTCGACTGTAATTCCTTTACAGCTACCTTGCCACTGCTGCAATGTAATTATGTGGAGTTCTATTTTTGGTTTTTAATGGTATTCAGCCAACACCACCTTTTGGGTAGAAGTCAGCAGCTCCCCTGACGCCATTCCTGACCTATCCCCGCTTAAATATAGCCGCTTTCCAGGGAATAAGAGCCAGTATGGCCAGAACGGGATAAGTCTCCCAATCCTCATGTATTATATATGAGACCTGCAACCAAAGAACAAAGGCTGGCATGAAGAAAGGAGAGAAGGGGAGCGAAAAAAAATCGAAGAACCCTGGTTGAGTTTAATTTGACAAATGCAGTGTAGAAAAACAGGAACTCTGCACCAGTGATGGTGGAGAAGCTCGGTAAAATAACATTGTTTGTGATTACATCAGCCACGATGAAGATTTGTGTCAGATAAGAAGCTCTGCTTGGGTTACGCTCGGCCCTCAGACACTGAATCTGTGAAAGATGTTTGTTGATTCATTTTTCTTTCGAATCCAGTGGAACAGAAAAAAAGGGAAACGTTTCATGATATGGTTGCAGGGTTGGATCAAATCCCAAAATTGAAACATCCCCTAAAGTGCGTCAGAATTAAAGCACTGAATCCTTGAGCTTCTTTGCCATCTTGTCCACATTCAGGCAGAGATAATCAAGAGATCAAAGGCAATAGACCTACAGCAGATAGACGTGTGGGTGGATCAATATGGAAGACCAAACAGGCTCTTGTGGCCTCAGGTAAGTGGGAAGCATTTGGCCCACCTCGGAGACTGACAGGGGATTGCTAATGAAGTCCCAGAGTTCTTGAATGAATTTATGTATTCATTTCTTAAGCCTCTGCATTCTTCTCTTCCACATCACTTCCCCCCCCCCACCCCCACCCCGCTCTTTTCAAATCACTTCCTCTCCAAGTCACCTGAACATCTGTTTGGCCTTGTGATGGGTGCCCAGCTGTCTCGCTGTTTCCCCCTATGAAGCGGCCAACAATCTGCTCCGCGGTCCACAATCCCCTGGAGACTGCGGGAACATATGGATGCGAAGGGAATAAAAGAGAGAGGGAGAGACTCCATCCACCAGATGAGCGTCTCTATTTGCCTTCAGGCCCACAAACGGGGCTGCATTTCAGACACCTCAGGTGCCAGCAATGCAAACCACCGGCTAAGGTCGTTCCATGTGACAGGAAAAATATCTAAACAAGTGAAGCATTCCACGCCTCAAACAACTGCTTTCACTGCTTGTAACTGATAACCCAACATGGCTGGTTTAACACAGACGCCTCCCTCTGAGATTTCTTCTTTTTCTTTTTTTTATCCTGGTAGAAACAATAAAATCTCAATTGCTCTCATTGACATTGCGGCTGATGTTTGCATCATGTATCACCTGCCTCAAATAGCTCATATCCTCCATTGCATCTCGACCGGCTGCAACCGAGGCCCTGATGCCATAAAGATGGCAGATAGCAGCCTGCAGCCAGGTTGTACCGGATCTGGCCCCGCTGTCTCATTGCCTCAAAGTTTCTTCTTGCCAAAAGAGTTTGTGCAGACTTGGGATCAGTTTCCCCGGCAAACGAGTAAACTTCGCCTATCTCATCTCACACACACACACTCCTTTTTTTTTTTCCTGGAGGGGATGACGATGATGAGCAGAAAAGATACAGGCACCCCGGGGAGCCAATTATCACATTGAAGAGATTTGCGTAGTGTTTCAAGAAGACAATGTTCAGCATGAAACACACACAGGCAGCCACGTGCACGGCATCTGACACACACACACACACACACACACACACACAGGCAGGAAGCACAGATGCACAAAGTGAGTATAACAGTCTGCAAACACGTCTGCACACACATATACCACCCGAACGCGATGCCTTCTCACATACAATCACACAAGTGGGTGATTATATGCACAAGTACAGAGAAGAGAGAGGACGCCCAAATGTTGCACATTTCTCCAAGAACCCGCCGGGCCCAGACTGCACCGGCTGTATCTCCACACAGAGAGGAAGTCCGCTGCATATCAATTTATGCATTCAGTGTGTGAAAACTATCAAGTGTGGCATCATTTCAGATACTCATCTCAAGATTTCAACAGAGAAAAAGAACTTTCATGGATGGTTAGCAACTGAGAGGAAATGCAGAAATGTGGCTGCAAGGCTAAACTCCCAAGGTCAAGAGTTCTATCTGAATAACTTCACTAGCGAGCGAGCTACTCGAGTGTGGATATGAGGAGCTGCAAGAGAATGCATATCCACGCTTTTGTAGGGAGACTAATTAGATGAAAGTGAGGGTAAGCAATGGCATATCTTAACTTTTCCAGCATATTTTAGCGCGCATACTCTAAATTAGTTCAACTAGCACCTCCTCAGGTGTTAACCTGGCCCCAAACTGTTAATAAACAATGACATGTTCAAGGTTTAGTTTTTCTTTATCTGATATTAAAAAATAAGCTTCACAAAAGCAGGAAAGAAGAAGAAAGAGAAAAAAAAGGTTTTCTATGTTAAAATGAAATGAATGCGCTCAGTGGTTTCACTGTTCAGCATCTGTTAGTCGTCTACATTCGCAAAACTATTTCACAACACTCAAGCAAAAACCTTTCAAACGTGCAAGTACTGGTGAAATGGATCACGCTTGATCCGCGGTCTGTTCTGTTCGGGCCGCACGTGATCCATGAATCGATGGAAAGTTTTAAAACATGGTGTACTAAAAATTGGTCTTAAAGTTTTCTGTTTGTTGCTTTAGATTTTCTTGTTATGACTTTTCTTGTTTTTTGGTGGTTTTCCTGTGCATTGTTTAACAGATGGACAACTTACTGCCATCGTTACTGACAAAGTTGAACGTATGACGAGCAGAATTGAAAGCATCCAACATATGTGGTTCTCACAGTCATGACGCCCTTGTGAAATGCTCAACCACAAGGAAAATATCATCAAAGGAATCAAATCTACAAACAGATTACTGCACAAGATGTTATTTTGGTGGATCAGAGGGGACTTTCATCTCCATCTTTGAATAATGCAATCTTGCAATGGCCAGTGGGCATTAGAGGGGAGCCATTTGAAATCTAATTGCAGCATATGGGTGCTCCATTGATTTGTAAGTGCAGTGATGGGAGATATGAAGCCCCATGGAAAAAGCAAGGACCAAAAGTGTCTTATCTTTCATTACTCTTACATCTTGGATGCATTGGCTAACATTTAACGACAACGTAGCTTCTGGGAGTGATGGACAAGTCCTGGGGCTTCCAGTGTAGCCAGCGGTTAGCCATATAGGACTTCCTGTCAAGACTTGCTTTTTTAATTTTTCCAGTCCAACTAGCAACTTGACTAGAATGAAGCTGGAGCTTTGAGGAGATGTCTCAGAGCAGACTGTGAGCTGTGCTTTCATGCAGATGTCAGTTTATTGTGCTGGGTAAAAAGCAAAATCATCCTCAGATGATTGCTGAAGGCTTCTCAAATGGCATTACAACCAATTATTTTAATAACCCTAACCCTACACTGAGAAAACATCTCTTAACATCATCTTAGCATTCTGAAAAGCTATAGTAAAAAATTTACCTCGGACTACAAACAAAAACATGGTAGATCAAAATCACTATTTATCTTTTGCATTTTTTATTACACAGACTCTGTGAATAGTTAAGTTCATCTTTGAAAGTGATTAATACGATGATGTGAAATTATTTACATGAGCTTTAAAAATATACGCTGTTAGTTAAAAATACTGACATTACTCTCCAGTGTTTCTGGTGATTCATTGCATCTGCAGTGCTCCTCCGTTTAGAGACAAACTGTAGATGAGAGACTGGGTCAAAGCCTTGGCCTCTATTTCGTGAAGGTCCCCCGAGGCGTGGGAGTGCAGACAGAAGGTCAGGACACCTGTCTGCAAAGCAGAACTATGTCCTGTCCTTCAGGCTCCCCCACGTGATATCAAAGAAGAAGAAAAAAAAGGAGAGGTTTTTTTCTCACGGGGAGCCAGGACTGGCTGAAGGTCAGTCGTTTCAATACGTTTGACCAGCAGGACAATTCTTCACTGAGATAACTTCAACAGAACTCTAAGACAAAGAAACCCCAAAAGATTTTACCCACAATATTTACAAGCATGTTTTCCCCGCTCTCCTCAAACACACATTAAAACTGTACATTGCTACAATGCTATGAACACAAGATCAAACATAGCACAGAAGCTACCATGGTGCGCATGTTGTAACTGGGTAATTAGTTGTATTCAGGCTTCGCACCATGCTGTGATAAAACTCTCTGTTTACAGGCAGCTGGAAAAGACTGCAACTGTCTGTCTACCCGCACAGCCTGCAGGGAGGCAACGGTGGAGAGTGTGTTCTTTTTAACTTTTGTGGGGTGGTGCGTGTGAACGTGTGTTTGGGTGGCCACAAAGAAACAGGTGTCACTGTCTGCAACTCCAAGAAAACAAAGCTGCAGAGGGTAAATGTTTTAAACTGTAACTCTCCGTGTGAGTATGCACGCACACGCTCGCACTCAAAGTAATCTGCATAGACACGTACGAGTGTGAACTCATGCACACATCAACGAGCGCATACACACTTCCTCTGCTTTCTCCTTGGCGTGTGTTGTTTATGTGCTTTCATGTCTTTCCCCTTGTTATCTCTTGGGCTTTCTGCAGCACTGGCACCCCAGGGGGGTTGAAGAAGAAGACAAACACGGTTTGATGTGGTCGAATTTTCTGCCATCGGAGAATGAGGTGGGGAAAAAAAGGAAAGAGGAGCCTGAAAAAAGAATTCCTGAAAGTGAGATGCAAAAAAAAAAAAAAA